TTGGAAGTTTCCAGGTCTCGCTTTTCGGCCTATGTCCTCATGTAGAACTGTTTCAGTCTTTACTTTGAAAGCATGCTGCCCTCAAATTTGGGTTTTGGGTCTAGCTTTCTCGGGCACACCGAACCCTGTCACCGTAGCAGCATTTTTGGCTTTTTGCTCTGGGGCTCTTAGCTAGGTGATGAGTGGTGTAGAGTGTATCATCCCGGACTGGGAATAGACTTTCATCATTTTTTGTTTGCTCGAAAAACCCGCAATCTATCGGTGTCTGACTCTGCCTACAGTTGAAAATAGTCATTTTGACTGACCGGATGGTGGGTAATTGAACAGAGTGAATTTAGGCAGAGGGTTCTCCGAACCTGCCTATTCACATAGTTCATACCTACAATAGAGTCCGGGACCCCCCAACCACCCCACTCTTTCCGTAGCGTTGTTCTAGTCCTCGATGCGGAGAGAAAGGAACCAGAGTGAAGGTCAAGATGGGTTGACGTCGCCACATTAGCTCGGTCACATGGTTCGTGACGTAAGGAAAAAGAATCTTGGGATCATGGGGCTTCTCCTGACTTAAATTTTATCTCTCCGTCATTGGCAGAGTCGCTGATTAATGCCTACAGTTTAAAATAGTCATTTTGACTGACCGGAGTCTATGGTGGGTATGAACTAAGTGAATAAGCATTTTCGGAGAACCCTATGCCTAAATTTGTTATTTGCAGACTGTCACTGGTTTTGTGACAGCCCCCAAATCATATACAGTGACCAATGTTAAATTTGTTGTTTGCAGACTGTCATTGGTAAACTGATGGATTATGTGAAGGGTGAGGGCGATGTTCCACAGACCGACACACATTGGATGTCAGAGAGCGGCATTATTGATGTCTTTGTTCTTCTTGGTCCTACTAATGATGATTTATTTAAACAATATGCAAGTCTGACTGGAACAACACAGCTACCACCGGTGAGTTAAATATATTAGATAAAGGGGAGGGTTCATCACCTGTGAACATGTGAACTGAGTCCCAAGCAATGATAACAACGCATGCTTAAAATGCAAAGGCTCATGGGTAGATGCTTGTTTGTAAACAACAACATTCTATAACCTTTTGCCACATGTGCAGGTGATGACACCCTCTCTTTAACGGAATAACCAACAACCCAGCTACCACAAGTGAGTTGAATATATTAGTTAAGGAAATAACAAACTTAAGTATTATATGTCCTATATGCACTACCGGTATATGCAGGTTTGACCTTTGACCTGAGCTAGGTATTATTTACATGTGTTTTATCAATGTAAATGTTTCAGATGTTTTCCATAGCATATCACCAATGCAGATGGAACTATAATGATGAAGAGGATGTCAAATCGTAAGTCAAGCAACATTTATGTTCAAGTTCATTATTTATGTGGGTTATTGTCCAAGATTAATAGCAAAATATACAAGAGCAGCATTTTAACCAGAACCTGCAACGAAAAGTTCAGCTAACCTTCCTTTTTTTACCACCAGTCGCTTTCATTGTCATAGAGAAAAATTTGTTTGATTGAAAGCACCATATACACACCTTAATAACTTGTGACTATTCATGCTATGCTCGAAAGTCTGGATGCTATGCTAGAAAGTCTGGATGCTATG